GAGGAAGTATACTGGCCTTGCAAATTAGCACTGGCCCCTGCCCACAAGGAAATAATCACCCAAAACCTTTGAGGCCCATGGACCAATTGTCACGGGACAATGAGGAGTGGGGTCTGGGAGCCTGAGAGCTGAGCCTGGGACACAGATGTTGACCCACAAGGTGGCACTGGGAGCCGATTTCAAGGTACATAGTCATGCATGCCATCAGTAAAGCGCCTCATGACGCAGACAAGGACCTTCCCATCTAGAATTGCATTTTATCTTTGCCAAAATGTATTTCAGCACAGGCACAGCAAGAGAAAAACGTGGGTGGGGATTACACAAGAACGCATACAAGTTCTCAGAGAAGATAAATAGAAACCTGGCGGAGTGGTCACACTAGTTTAAATCCGCTCTCCTGCTTTGTGAGACCTAGATCCCATTTCTGTTACATGATGGAATCAACCTAGCACCGTGTTTACCAAGATACAAAGACTATGGACATCGGAAAAGACCTGCTCTAGATTCCAGATGTGGTTCGCCTAAGAAGTTAGACTGTAAGTTGCACTGGAAAGGCCGGGAGGTGGAGAAAAATCCATTTAGCACAATGCCTCCCAGAGACAGGAGTTCTGTGTCTAGGAAGGAGCCTTTAAGAACCCACATGGGATCTGCTTGCCTGAGAAACTAGGTTTGCTCCATGGTCCTCCAGGGAGGGCCCTGTAGGTGGTTACGAAGCAATCAGGGATGCAAGCCGGGGGGGAGCGGAATTGCTGAACTCCACCACCAGGAGGCCCCCTCTCTGCTCTCCCTGATGCAGGACCCAGCTCCTCCATTGTCTCAGTGTGGAATATTTCAATCCCATTCCTTTGAGGGTTCACCACAATAGCAGCTCATCTGGGGCACCCACGGGACCTCAGAGGGATTGAGGAGCCGGACAATGGCCCCAGGATTTGGAGAAATGAACTTGGGGGTTTAGGGCCACAGAGAGAATAAGCCATGTATTCTCCTTTCCCCCTTTCCACCTTCCCCCCCCCCCACTATGACAGTTGCCTGTGCATTTTGCCGTTAAGGAAGCTGTCGTGGAGAAGGGCAGGAAAGGCCCCCCACCCTGGCTCTGCACATGGATACCCGGGAAGTTGCTGGTCCTCCAGGGATGATGGGCTCTAATCTGAGGCAGTCCTCAGGAATCCTTGTCCTGGGTCAGCTGGGCCGAGGGGCTGCCTCATGGCTACCCTGCCGCATCTGGGGGCCCCCAGGAGCAGAGAAGGGCCCTGCCAACTCTGGGCAGTCATCCCAGACCCTCCTACCTCTGCATTCTTTCAGGCCACAGAGCTGGAGCCTGCACTCGGGGGCAGTGGGGTCCCTGAGATGGGGAGGGAGACAGAGAGGCGACAGGAGGCCTAGGGAGAGGGAGGGAGAAGCAGACACAGAAACAAAATAAGGAAAAGATCAGAGAGAGACACAAGGAAGGAAAAAGAGGGAGACAGAGCAAGACCAAGAAGGAGAGACAGACAGACAGGGACACAGACACCAAGAAAATCATGTTTTTCAGATGACCAGCCTCTCTGGGTAATGGGAAGAGGAGGCAGAACTCAAGTGGTACAGACACTTGGATTCCAGGAGGGGAGAATCCATCTACCCACCCACTCATGCTCTCCCCCCGTCCCTCCTTCACTGAGCAGTCCCTCAGTGGGGCAGGCCATTGCCAGGATGAGAGAAGAGAGGGTTGCAGAGAAAGTGCCAAGCAGCCCATCAGACCTAGGAGGGCCCTGGGGGTCACCCACCCAACGCAATCTTGTTACAGAGGATGAAATGGAGGTTTCAAGCCGGGGTGGGGGTTAGCCAGCTAGTTAGTGGCAGGGACAAGGGAGGAAACGCAAAAATCCTCCAATCAGCCGGCGTCCCTGGATCATCAGCTCGTCCTACAGAAACCACCCCCTCCGGGCCCATCACCAAGGCCCCTCACTTCCAATCATGGGCTCCTAATGTCCTTCCCACTGTCCCATTGTCCTCACTGCTGTCCCTGCAGCTGAACATCCCACCCAAGCTCTGTGGCCAGAGGGTATTGCACACATGCCCATCTCAGCACACTACCCCTCGGCCTGAAATCCCTCCAAACCCCACTCCCCGCCGGGCCTGTGACCCCAGGAGAGTGTGCATTCAGGGCCCTTGCCTACCCAGCCCTGGCTGCCCCTCCCGCATCACGCTCCCAGCCCTCACGTCTCCCACCGTCCGGTGCCACCACACTGGGTCACTGGCCGATCCCACTGTTTCCTCCGCCTGCTGCCCCTGACTCTCTGCCCACCCCCAGGGCCTCTGCCTGGGACTCCCTCCGTTCCTCTTGGGGGAGTCCTGTCCACTTTTTGCACACCCCCGCCCGAGCCTGAATCACAAAATACATAAAGCACCCACCCCAGAGCTGGGCCCATTGCAGACATTCAATAAACACCCACGATGCTTAGTATTATTAACAGTGACATGACGTATTGATAATAATAAGGACCACGATGGAGGAGGGCCCTGGGTATGAGGAAAATAAGACAGGAGGACACGTGGGTCTGCCAGAGATACTGCAAAGGGGGTGTGACCTGCGGCTTGGGGAGCAGGTTTCCAGGCAGAAGAGCGAGGATGGGGTGGGGGCGGGGACTGATGTCCCAGGGAGAGGAAAGCCGCGTGCACATGGCTAGCATGCTTTCAAACTATGAAGACCTCCTCCTACCTGGAGTCTGATGTGCTAAAGGGGCAGCAGATCGGCCAGCCAGTGGGGCAAATCCTGCCCCCATGCTCCACGCCCCAGGGTTTGAGGACTTCCTTAAGCTAAGTGTCTCTCAGCTGCAAAGGTGATGTGCGGAGGGACTTGGGGTTAGCAGGACGGACTGATGCTATTTTAACACCATAGCCTCACACACATTGTCTTATATATTTTTTTCAAAGCCACTGTGTGTTCACTATTGACATGCCCGTATTATAAATGGGAAAACTGAACCTCAGAGAAGTAAAGAAATCTTGCCTAAGGTCCCATACCTGATAAGTAACAGAGTTCAGTCTGAAGATTTCAAGCCCCTGACACCCTCTTAAGATTGTTTCCCTTTGTCTGAAGTTAGGAGGTTGAGTTAGAGCAGAGGTGCTAATATCTGGCACATAGCCCACCATTCCCCCTTCTACTCCCTCGACAGGCGTCACTACTAGATTAAGGCACTTTGTTTCTGAAAGACAAGAGAACCTCAGAATCCTTCTTAACACATCAATCTAAAACAGGGACTCACAGGAACGGACACATGAGATGAAACCACTTTGCATCCCTGGACTGATGATCCTGAAGGACCCATATACTTGTAACATTCTAGAGTTCCATGAATAGGTTTCTTGCCCCAGCCCCAGGAAGGTTAGGATGTGGGCCAGCCATGGGATGCTTCCTGAGTCTGCTTCTCCCTGCCACTCTCCCGGACAAGCCAGAGAGATTCCAGACTCTGCCTGGGTTCCTCCCAGCAGCCCCCATAAAGGCAGCACGACATGGTGTTTAAAAGCGTAGATACTGCTGACAGCCAAGCCTGGGTTCAAATCCTGGTATAAGAGTGACAAACCCTCAGTGTGGAGCCTCGAACATAGTACACGCTCAATAAATGATGGCTTAAGCCAAAACTAAAAATTCATCAGCATACAAAAAGTCGGGATTCTAAGGCAGACCCTACACCCCTTGCTAACTCCATCCTTCAACCTGCTCCTTTCCATCCTTCTTGACCTTCCTCCCTCCCGCTTCTCACCCTCAGACGGATGCCCCCGTGGCTCTCCCTGAGCTGGGATTCAGGGATGTCAACACCAGCTGCGCCTGGCCAGTGCCTGGCCCCCAGACCATACTAGTCACAGCCTACATGGATGGCACACTTACTCTGGGCTAAGGTTATTACACATAGCAACTCATCAACTTTCACCATGACCTCACCAGGTACATACTGTGATCTCTGATTTGCGCATGATGACGCAGGATCAGAGAGGTGCAGAAACTTGCTCAAAGTCACACGGCCAGGAAGGGGGTCTTCGTCTGGTTTACAGACACAAACACCCACAGCCCCGGGCTGCCCCACATATAGACAAAACCTCTCACAAACAGAACTGCTTCCTTGATATTCCCCTCTGCCAGACCTGGGAGGGGGCCTCACATCCAATGGGCATTACACCCATGGTTTCCAGTTCCCCAGTAAGAACCCCCAGGGCCTTCTTGCCTGGGTGATGGGAACTGTAAGAATGTGGGCTTTGAAACTGGGACACCCTAGGGTAGAATCCCTCACCAGCCCATTGAAAACAGTCTGTGTGACTTGGGAGTAGGTTACCTCTTCTCTCCAAGCCTCGGTTTTTGCATCTGGGAAATGGTACCACATCCTACGTCCCAGGGTTACTATGCAGAGCTAACTAAAAACGGAGCATCTAGCACAGCTCTTGGCACCCAGGAGGTGGGCCAAGGAAGTCTGTCCGTGGCCATCTGAACCTACACGAAGCTCCTGACACACAGTCGGCGCTGCATAAATGTCTGCTGGGAGACCACACTTAGGAAGTATGTCCGGAGCACAGCAGTGCTCGGTAAACATCCGTGAGCACATTCCAGACTCTGCCTGGATACCACTGGCTTCCGGGTAGATAAGACACCTGACGCATAGTAGGTGCTCAGTAAATGTCCCCTCAAATGAACCTAGTTTTGTCCCTCTGTATATAGCATAGAGTTGCTGGTCATTCAACATCTGCAGGGAGGGACCCGCCTAGAGTAGGCACTCAAGGCATGTTTGTGGCACCCTAACCAGAGAGAGAAGGTGGCACGCGCATAGTAGGTGCTTGATCCATGCCCGTTATTGAACAGATGCTGCTCAGGCGATGTTTGTGGGGTGTACGTGGAGGCAAGGTACCAAGCACACAGCAGGTCTTGGCAACCACGCCCGGGCGAGCTGAGTGGCACACAGTAGGCACTCGAGAAGGGTCTTCCCCTGCCCTCCCGGTGGGTCCTCTCTGCTCCCCACTGGCCTCCTCACCTTTGTTGTAGAGAGAACCGTCAAAGTAGTAGCTGCCAGTGTAGAAGCCGGTGGCCAGCTCGATGAGGTGGCGAGCCCACGTGTTGCCGGCGCCAGGGAAGCTGGCCAGAGCGATGAGCTGCTTGGACTTGGCTGGGAGGAACCTTCTGTCCATGCAGCGGTTGTCTGCAAAAGGCAGGACACAATCGGGGGCGGGGGCGGATGGAGCCGGACCAGAAGGACCAGGTGTGAGTCTCACGCCCCGCCCCTTCCCAGCCAGGCGGCCCAGGGTGACTTCCTCATGGTTAAAAGGAGGAAAACGGTTCCTCATCACAGGGTCGACATGAGGGCTGGGAGCGGGAGGGAAGGAAGAGCGTGTGGAGGGCAGGCAGTCTGGTGGGCTCAGGGGCAGGGGAACCGTGGCAGGGGAGAGGACAGGTCTGCTGTCCCTCTGTGGTAACTAAGGATCGAGGTCGTTGGCCCAGAGTGAGGAAGCAGGGCTGGAACCCCCAATCTAGGATTCTCTCCTCTCCCTCTTCCACTGCAGAGTCCCCTGTGCTGGGCCTTCCCTCAGGTTCTCTTGCATCTTGAGGGGTCCTCATGCCTGGGCCCCCACCTCCTCCCTCCTCCCCGACCCCCCCTCCTCTCTCCCCCTGCTGGCTCCATCACATCTGCATTCACACATGAAAAAATCACGCCATCATTACAAAAATCTCTTTCGAGGAACCACTCTCTGTCCTCACCCCATTCCCATCCCACCTCCGACTGAGCCGTCCACACTCGCCATTCTACCTTCTCCTCCTCCTTTGCTCCCAGGGGCGACCCTCTGGGCCCCGCCCCGCTCGAGCACAGAGCCAGTCCCGCTGGAGGCGCCGGTCAGCGCTCCTTGCAGCCTCTGTCACCACCCCCCATCCTGCCCTTCGCAGAATTCCTCCCAGGGTGGTCTTTCCCGTCCTGCAGGACCCGCCGTTACCGAGATCTTACTGTGAGCCACACTCATAACAGCCCATCAAGGGAAACGTCTGAGTTCCTAAACTGAAATTCCAATTCTGCCACCTATCTGCCGGGCGCCCTGGGAAAAATGATGGGTCTGAGCCTCAGTTTCCTCGCCTATAAAATGGGACCACTGACAACAGTGGTGCTCTCAGGAGGGTCTTAGGAGGGAGGGTGTGTTAACACGGGGCTCACACATTAGTGCCGATCGACCACACCTCCTCACGCTGTGACTTCCAGCCAGGGGGCCCCAGCTCCGCCCCCGCCCCCCCCACCGCCCCAGCCAGGTTCAATCTGTTCAGAGCAGACTTTGGGAAAAATAAATCTGGTCTTTGTCTTTGTTGAAGCCAAGTAGGTGTCTGGGAATGGTTTTCCTGGAAACACACTGCAGAAGAAGCCTAGGTATGTAACTTTCTTGTCTTATGTTTTGATAAGGGTACAGATTATCCAATTGTCTTTGCATAATACCCTTAAAAATCTGTGCATTCCACGCTATGTAAATGTTACTTTAAAAAAATCATTAGCAGGGCACCTGGGTGGCTCAGTCGGTTAAGCGTCTGCCTTCAGCTCAGGTCATGATCCCAGGGTCCTGGGATCGAGCCCCACGTCCCCCCCTCCACCCTGCTCAGTGGGGAGCCTGCTTTTCCCTCTCCCTCTGCCTGCCGCTCGCTCCCCGGCTTGTGCGTGTGCTCGCACTCTGTCAAATAAATAAAATCTTTAAAGAAAAAAATCAAATAGCAAAATTCAAAAAAATTTTTTAAAAAATCAAAAACAGCAAATATTGAATTATAATTAAGGATATGTACACTGGCATGTAAAATGGTTGCAATTTACAGTTGACCCTCAAACAACCTGGGTCTGAACTGTGCAAGAGTTTTTTTAATAAATCTAATACCCTACCATCAATGTGTTTTCCTTAAGATTTTCTTAATAACATTTTTCTTCTCTCCAGCTTACTTATTGGGATACAGTGTATAATATAGGTAACATACAAAATGGAGGTTAACTGACCATTGGCGTTATCAGTATGGCTTCTGATCAACAGCAGGCTGTTAGGAGTTAAGGTTTTGGGGAGTCCAAAGTCAGATGTGGGGATACCTGGCTGGCTCAGTTCGAAGAGCATGCAACTCTTGATCTCCAGCTTGTGAGTTCAAGCCTCACGCTGAGCATAGAGATTACTTAAAAAAAAAAAAAAAAAAAAGTGGATTTTTCAACTGCGCTGGCGGGGGGTCAACATCACCCCTAACCCCCGTGTCTTTCAAGGGTCAACGGTCCTTTGAAATGCATGAAAAAAATAAGAAGGATCTAGGGATGGTGAAATGGAGAGATGGATGATCAAGTCAATATAACAAAATGTTGGCAAACGTAAAGCCTACGGGATGCATTACGGGCATTCACAGTGTGATTCCAGTTTTTTTCTGGAGGTTTGACATTTTTTTTCCCCATCACAAGATGTTGGGAGGGAGAAAAAAGAAAACAACAAACCCGGCCCTCAATTTCTCCAGAAAACAGCATTCTCCATTCAAATGCTGCCTGGGAGGCCAAGACCCACTCCAAGGTAAAGGCTGTTGTTTTCAGCCCTAAAAAAGAAAGTTTATTTCAGCCCCGAAAAAAAAGCTCCGTAAATCAAAGCAGGACTGTGTGGGGCTTTGGAATCGGACAGAGCTGGGTCTTACTCCAAGGCTCTTCCCCTCTCGGAGCCCGTTTCCTCCTGAAAGATGGGGCTAATCACCTTACAGGAGGAAAAGGAGGGTATGTGCAAAGCATTTTCAAAGTATACCGAGAAGTTGTGGTTCAGAGCACAGCCCAGGATCCAGACCCCACCTGGGTCTGAAGCCCAGCTCAGCCCTGTCCTAACTGTGCCACTAGGGCCCAGCTACCCAACCTCTCTGTGCCAAGTTGTAAGATCGTCATTTCAGAGCTTTTGTAAATGTTAGAACATGTCTAAGTGTTTAGAATTTTCGAGCATTTGTAAAACAGGAATAATAGCTGCACCTAGGTCATTGTGAGGACTGAAAGAGTTAATTCAGTCTCAAGGGCTTAGACGGTGCCTGGCACACAGTAGGTGTTCGATAATTCCATTCCTGGCAGGGTTTAGCACGCAGCAAATGCAGGATAAATGGCAGCCGTGATGGACCAGGCTCTTGGCAACCTAATAAACCACGGACCTCGCTGGTGTGAGGGACTGCACGCCTGATGTGGAAAAACTGAAGAACAGTTTTGGCCTGGGGACGTGGCCCAGGGAATGAGCAAAGCCATCAATTAGGGGCTCTTTATCTGCTTTTGAAAAGGCTCCAATGTCTGTTCCATCCACATCAAAGCCATTCACGGTCATGGAATAATTAATCTGTGCATGACTCTCCCTTAGGCTGGGGGAACACGGTTCTGCACAGAGTAACCAACACTTCCTAAAAGCTAACAAATGTTCATCCCTCCTTGCTGGACTATAAACAAAGCCAAGAGCCGCACTTACTAGATTCCTGCTCACTGGGCTCTTAGCAGGACTTTAAGTGCCACAGAAGGAGCCACAGGCGGCTACCACTGGTACCCCCGTCAGAGCAAATAGGGTAGGAGCTCTTGATGGGGCTGCCACTAGCTCTTTTGACACTTTTGTACCCATCAGAAAAAGGCACCCTCCCCTTCCTCTGGGCAGAGGCACTGCTATCCACAGTGCAGAGCTTGGGCTGGCTTTCCGGTACCACTTTTCCTACAGGTTATGACTGTGCAGTGCACAACCTGCCCAACTGTACATGGAGGCCCGGTTCCTGGGAGATGAAGAGGAGGTCTAGCCCAATCGTATTTTATTGCGTCTCCAGGCTTCAGGGAGTAGGGATGATGTTTCCCTGACTGTAGGCTTATTGTGGGCTTTACATCATTCAGTGAGGCGGGGCACAGGACCGGCGCATAGTAGGTGGTCCACATATTCAGATACTGGGGTAACCCTTCAGGGGTTTACCTTCGGATGGAGTGTCCCAGCAAAGCACCTCTCTAAGCGCCACCCACCCTTCATGATGCCTCGGTCAGAGGAAATGGCTTTCAGCTAGAAATTTTATAAGCAGTGTGACCTCAGGCAAGGCCCTTCCTTAACTGTTCCGTGTCAGTTTCCCTGCCTGTAAAGCGGCCGTGATAATTATTCCCACCGCCCAGGAGAGCCGAGGGGCTTCAGTGAGAAAGTGTGAACTAAAAACTCAACACGGACTCCGGCACCAAGAACGTCCTCGAGAGACCCTCAGCACTGCCACCACCACGGGCCGGCAGCCCCAAGAGATGTGAGAGGAGCCAAGCGGGAAGCAGAGTTCCCACCAGCAAAGGGAGGGGGACAGAAGGTGGAGAAAGAGAAGATTTTTTATAAATAAATGGATAGAATCCTAGAATTGAAAGGGCTCCTGGGCGCCTGGGTGGCTCAGTTGGTTAAGAGACTGCCTTCGGCTCAGGTCATGATCCCAGGGTCCTGGGATCGAGTCCCGCATCGGGCTCCCTGCTTGGCGGGAAGCCTGCTTCTCCCTCTCCCACTCCCCCTGCTTGTGTTCCCTCTCTTGCTGTCTCTCTCTCTGTCAAATAAATAAACAAAATCTTTAAAAAAAAAAAAAAAAGAGCTCCTGGAGGTCAACAATCTACCACTACATTTTACAGATGGGGAAACTGAGACTCAGAAAGGTGAAGAGACTTGCCCGGGATCCTGCTGCAGCTCTGGGTTGGTCACCCGGGTCCCCCACTCCCAGCCCAGCTGACACTACACTCAATCTCACCGCCTTCACCACAGGAGAAGAGCCACCAAGGTGGGGGCTCAGTAGGAGGGACAGAGATGAGGGTCTCTGGAACCCGACACCCCTTGCCTGGGGCCCTTTGCCTCTGTTGTTGTCCCTGAGCCAGGCCAAGTTCCCCAGCCCTGCCCCCGCCCCCTGTCCTGCTCAGCCCAAGTGGGATGCGATGGGTTGGGCTGGCCGGGGCCCCTCTGGGAGGGAAGCCACTGGAGAGCATCCGGGGGAGGGTTCCGCTGGGGGAGCCCCGGCTTACCTTGAACCTGTGTCTGGTACACGATGAAGTACCGGGGAGTCCCACAGCTCTCAAACTCCTCCGCGCTGCACTTCTGGGCACAGAGCTGCTCGTCCTCCCTCTCGTGGAGGGGGAACCGCGTGGTGGGGAACCCGCAGTGGCAGGCAGTGCCCGCGAGAGCGGCCAGTGGGTACTCCTGCAGGGGAAGACGGGAAGGAAGAATGTCCTGAAATCCCCGGATTGCCCCGACTCCCCATGCAGGGCAGGGCTGGTGTTCCAAACGTCCCCTTCTCCACCGCTCTCCCCAGCACGAGGGTCCCCCAACTTCACTTTAACGAGTCTGCCCCATTTGCGCACCTCCCAGGCTATCGTTTCTTTTCAGCTTAATTAAGGTATAATTGACAAATGAAACCCGCACTTCGGTACATTTCCACGCTCTAAACTCAAATACTATAGAAAGAAAACAATGTAATTACTTTCTAAGGAGGCCCTGCCAAGAAGAGCCCCCGGTGGGCTCTGCTCTTCCTGCAAAGCGGAGATTCGTGGAGGGTTGAGAGGGGTTTAAGACACCTGAGCACGGAGCTTTCTCCTGGAGGGCTGGAGAGGAGCCTGAAAAGAAACTGATTTTCTCACCGTCCTGCGCCCTGCCACCAGAAATCCCCAGGTCTCAGAGTGACATGAAGCCCACGCTTTGGGAAAAGCCGTCTGAGCCGGTTCTTTTAAGCCAAAGAGGATATGGATCCCCACGTTAGCTACGCTCTTCGCTCTTCGTGGGGACAGCTGCTCCTATCTGCTTTATTCTGTGGAGCAGCTAAGCCGGAGCAAGGTGGGGCTCAGGTTCGGAAGGCAGGGGGCTGTCCTTTGTCCACTTCGCTTATACTCCAGACCCGCAGCCCTGAATCCTCCCCGATACAAATAAGCTGGTAATAAACCAGGATCACACCTCGGTGGCCAATCCAGCGAATTTTGCACAGGCGGTTCGGTTTCTTCCTAACACATATTAAAAAGGAACTTTACCTCTTAGCTGAAGAGCAGAGACAGAAGGAGAAATGCTGGTACGCGGAAGGGTCTGTGTGGGCCATGACCGATGGCATTTCTAACAGGTGATACATATCGAGCCTCCGCTGATAGCCTAAATCTGCTACCCTCCACCCCGTGGCCCAGGCAGCTCTGTACCCCCGCCCACGTAATCCCCTCAAATTTTCTCCTATGACCCCTGAGGAGATCAGAAGAAACTGGAAGAGGGAGCTTTGCAGAGGGGCCTTCCTGTCCACCCACACACCCTCGCTTCCCTCCAGTCCTGTGTACAGTCTGACCCTTTGTTATGCTGTTTTGCCCGGGACTTCATTGTCTCACGTGTTTGCGTCCCACCTGCAGCTGATCTGCCGGCTCCAGGGTCATCAAGGACTGAAAAATGTCCCTGGAGGGGATGCCGTGGGGGAGGGGCATTCCCGCCCGGGCGGGGGGGGGGGGGGGGGGGGGCGCGCCCGCGGGGGGGGGGGGGGGGGGGAGAAAGCTGGATCAAAAGCTGGTCTAACCTCCTCTAAGAACTCCCTCCCTGACCTTCCAGGATGCCTCTTAGGAGCAGAGTAAGCACTCAGGAAATGCTTGGTGACTTGAAGTTGCCTGGCTGCCCTTGAATGGCTCTGGCAGCCTCTCTAGGTAGCTCTGAAATTCAGAGTGTAGATGCCGAGGCAGGCCCAGGTGTCAGCCCTAGTTGCTTGTGCTACGAGCTTGGGCAAGTGACTTCACCTGTTTGGGCATTGGTTTTGTCATCTGTGAAATGGGGCGGAAAATCCTCAACTCCAAGCCTTCACGTGAGAGGTAAACTGAGACCCGGGGTGAGAGGCCTGCGTGGAGGACGTGCTCAGTAAGCGACAGCTCTCAGCAATCCTGCAAGGTGCTTCGCGCATCGGGAGACTGGATGAGGGTTGAGCCAAGCAGCGCAACTCAGAGCAGGTGGGGCATTTGGGAGTTGGGGGCAGGCTTGAGCATCCGGCAGGGGCCACAAGGCAGGCCCCCAGCAAGTGCCAGCATCTTTGAGGACAGACACTACATCTGGTTGACCCTGCATCCCCAGCACTGAGCATGGGGGCCTGGCACAAAGTAGTTTCTCGATAATATTAGCCAAGCAAATGAACGAAATGGGCAACCATGTTTTTGTGGTGGGGAAGGCGTGGTTCTTTGGCCCCTCATGTAATGAGCTCATCTTGAAAGAAGGCTAGAGCTCCTCGGACATCACTGAGTGCCAACGATATGCCTAGCCCTGCTCTGGGTATTGGGAGGGCACCAGTGTTCAAGGCACAACCCCTACTCTTGTGGAGTTCACTGTCTGGTCAGGGAGGAAGGATCTCAGGCTGAGAAAGGACCCACAGGTCATCTAGTCCAACTTCAATCTAACGCCTGAAGTTCTGGGTGCCACACCTGCCCTGACTCTACTTGCATGCCTTCAGTGATGGGGAGCTCACTCTGTTCCAATGTGGGGCTGCCCTTGCCTTTCCCTGATAATCTTCTACTCACACTTGTGGGCGTTAACCTCATTGCTGAGCATTCCTGACAATTAGAACAAACACACCTCCTCAGAAGGAAAGAACTCGACCCCAAGGCACTTCTACCCCTTTGATCCACAAGAAACCGTCATGTCCCTTTCCCATGTCACAGATCACAGAGATGACGCCCTTGTCCTGGCTGGGCTGCTGCCAAGCCCCCCCCCTCCTTCCCGCAGCTGTTCCACACCGCCCCTCCCTGGAGTTCTGTGAGCAGGACCCCGGGCTCACCTTCTCGGTGCAGAGGTCCACGCACTTGTCCACGGACATGTTCGGCATGGCGGCTGTCACGGGCAAGGCCAGGGAGAGGTTGTCGGGCCTGCGGAAGCAGCCACGGAAGACCGCGCTCCCATCTGGAGAGCCGGAGAGAAAAGCAGGAGTCAGATCTCAGCTGGAGAACCACCTTCTGAAGAAAGCACTTTTATTTATTTATTTTTTAAACAATTTTATTTATTTATTTGAGAGAGAGAGAGAGAGCGTGTGCGCACCAGCTGGGGGTAGGGGCAGAGGCAGAGGGAGAAGCAGGCTCCCCACCGAGCAGGGAGCCCGATGCCGGACTCGATCCCAGGACCCTGGGATCATGACCTGAGCTGAAGGCAGATGCTTAGCCACTGAGCCACCCAGGTGCCCCAGAAAGAGCTTTTAAATGAAAGCCCAGAGAAGGCAAGAGTCTTGCCCAAGGTCACACAGTGAACCAAAGTGGAGACTAATCAGCTGAAAAATTCAAAGTGCTCTCCTCAGCCCTGGCAACTTTGTCGACAGCCCAGGTCACTGAGATGTTCTTGTGGGGCCACATCGTTCCCTTTTCTTCGCCAGCCTTCCTGGGCCTTGCCTCCTCATGGTCAACGATGGTTACTCCCCATTCAGGGACGAGACAGATGTCATGGAGGATTTTCACAATCGCATCAGGAGATGGCCGTTTGAGGATGGAGGGAAGCGAGGTACCCAGGACTATCCTGTCCCTCCTCCTCACAGCACCGGGTGCCCTCTCCCTCCCACCCTCCTGGGCGTTAGGGGAAAAATCCTGGGCCTCAGGAGTCTCTGCCCACCAGTGCTGAGCACCTACAGGCTACAAGGGACTGATCTGCCGGAGGGACTGCCTTGAAGATAATCAAATCGGGGAAACACCCCAGGCACACACAACAGGAAATCTGTGGAAGCCACAGCAGTCACCCCAAAACCCTACTCAGAGATACTGCCTTGGGTCAGGTTTCCTAGAAGCAGCACCTGAGACGGTGTTTTATTGAGGTGCACTCTCAGGAGGGGACAGGGGGGAAGCAAGGCAGGGCTGGCAGGAGCTAAGCGAGCGTGTGACCTTGGCCGGGTCCCACCCCGAGCATGGGGGATGAGCTGTCCCACAGTCGGTCCCGCAGTGGCTGTCCTAGAGAGCCTGCTCCTCTTGGGCCAATGGTCATTTTCACCCAAGGGGACAGGTGTGAACCACTGGCCACCCAGAGTCACCGCAGGTAAAGGGGTTTGGGTGGGTTTGCTGTGGCGCCCGCCGAGGGTGCACACAATTATGAATAAGGATATACGCAGTGGCATTTAGTTAAAGCAACACGTGAAAGACAGAGCACAGCCTAGGTGTCCAACAAGGAAGCGCTGGACAGGGAAAGTACGGAACAACAAGGGGCGCCTGGGTGGCTCAGTCGTTAAGCGTCTGCCTTCGGCTCAGGTCATGACCCCAGGGTCCTGGGATCGAGCCCTGCGTTGGGCTCCCTGCTCAGCGGGAAGCCTGCTTCTCCCTCTCCCACTCCCCCAGCTTGTGTTCCCTCTCTCGCTGTGTCTCTCTCTGTCAAATAAGTAAAATCTTTAAAAAAATAATAATAAATGGCATTCAGGGGTACTTTAGAGAGAAGAAGATGTGTTCAAGAGGTTAAATATAAACTGAGACTATGAAACTCCACATATTATATCAATTTTATATAAAAATTCTCTCTCAATATTAATCTCTAGAAGGACCTTTACTAACATGTTGATAACCAGGCTCATCTCTGAAGAGCAAGCATGATGGTTGTTTTCGTTGTTGTTGTTTTTTAAAGATTTATTTGAGACAGAGAGAAAAAGCAGTGGGGAGGGGCAGAGGGAGAGGGAGAAGCAGACTCCCTGCTGAGCAGGGAGCTGGCCATGGACGAAGGGCTCGATCCCAGGACCCGGAAATCATGACCTGAGCTGAAGGCAGACGCTTAACGACTGAGCCACCTAGGCACCCCATGATGGTTGTTTTAGGTCAACATGGCTAGGCTATAGCACCCTGTTTGATCAAACATACGTCTAGGTGCGGCTGTGAAGGTATTTTGTAGCTGTGATTAACATTTATATGCACTGGACTTTAGGGAGACTTACAGGGGATTACCCTTGAGCATGTGGGTGGGCCTCATCCAATCAGTGGAAGGCCTCCAGAGCAAAACCTGAGATTTCCCAGAGAAGAAGGAATTCTGCCTCAAGGCTGCAGCATTAACTGCTATCTGAGTTCCCAACCTGCTGGTCTGCCCTACAAATTTTAGGCTTGCCAGCTTCCACAACTGCACGAGCCAATTCCTTAAATAAATCTCCTAACATGTATACATATGTATATAAAACTCCTACAGATTCTGTTTCTCTGGAGAACGCTGACTAATAGAGTAGCATTATAGGCAATTTTTATTTCCATCTTTTTAAAACCTTTTCTAGCTTTTTCTACAGTGAATATGTATTTTTAATGTAATTAAGACAAATTAAAAAAATTTTTAGGGGCGCCTGGGGGACTCAGTCGGTTGAGTGTCTGCCTTCGGCTCGGGTCACGATCCCGGGGTCCTGGGATTGAGCCCCGCATCGGATCCCTGCTCAGCAGGGAGCCTGCTTCTCCCTCTCCCGCTCCCCCCGCTTATGCTAGCTCATGCTCTCTCTCTCTCTCCCCCTGTCAAATAAATAAATCTTTAAAAAAATTCTTTTTAGGGGACGTGGGCAGCTAAGTCAGTTGAGCGTCAGACTCTTGATTTCAGCTCAGGTCATGATCTCAGGGTCGTGAGATCGAGCCCTGCATCAGGCTCCGTGATCAGCACGGAGTCTGCTTGGGATTCTCTCTCTCCCTCTATACCTCCCCCCGCACATGCTCTCTTGTTCTCTCTCTCTGAAATAAATAAATAAAAAAATCTTAAAAAAAAAATTTTTTTAATGCCCCTGTCAAATTTATCAAAAGGCTCATGATGCCCATTTAAAATTGAGGTCAGCTGTCCTCCAATTCGAGTTGCACGAGCCTTTCCAGAACACAGCTGTCACGGAAAACCAAGGACACCGTTCATACAGCGCAGATCAAAACCAGGAGCACAGAAGTAGGTGTCATTGACCGAGTGCCTGCCACGTGTGATCTACTCTGCTGGGAACTTTACTGACATCATCTCATTGCCCCTTCTGGAAAACTCTGAGAGGTCTGGAGTAGACTCTGGTTGTGCAGCTGAGTAGCAGGGCTCAGACAGGGAGGTTACGGGACAAACCTAAGGACCTGCTGTTGGCAAGAACTTACTGCGGATCATCGCAGAAACAAGATGTCAGCCCTTGGGAAAAAGGGAAGCAAGCTGCAACAACCGTACACCTCCATCTAGGTCTGTCTCCGGGTCTGTCTAGAACATCAAACTTCCCTGTTGGCACACCCACGTACGTTGAAGTTTGCGTGTAGGGAGAAGGACATGGAATTGCTCCCCGGGCAGAAGGATGGTGGAGGAGGGGGAGGGAGGGAGTTTGGGAGTGATCGTTTTAAATGTCAGCTGTCATGCTAGTGATTATTTCTCCCACCTGGCACCCGGTAGCCCGCAGTCGCTCCTGGCAGAGGCAAATCTAGCAAACTGAGAAGACATCTGGAATTTGGGTAAACGGCTATTTCCAGAGCACGCCGCAGGCTCACACCATCCAGTCCTCTCTCCCCCGTGGTCATTAGCCATTGCTCCAGGCTGGTGAGGGAGCTGGTGGTGGCCGGGGGTGGTCAGGGTGCTGCGGACCCACCCCGAGGTCCTCCAGGCCTCAGTTTCCCATGTATCAATGGCAGGGAGGTGGACAGACCACGCAGATTCTCTTCTGGACAGGGTGACACTCCACCCTCCGCAAGTGAGGAACTGTCAGACCCCAAATGCCACTGGTGTCCCATCCCGTGGCCCAGGGTGCTCAGAGGGAAGCCCCGGAAACTCATCAGTCACCTCGAGGAAGATTCGATGATGCTCAGAGAATGTGCCATCCAAGGTGAGGCCAGGGAGGGGAGTCAGGCATTTGAGCTGAAGACTCATGGCTACGAGGTGGGACTCACAAAGTAGGTGCACGGACCCTCACTTAACCGGAAAACTCCTTTAGCTGGAAACCCACTCCGGTCCCAGGGCAGAGGGACACTGCCTCGCTTCTAGAAGAAGGAAGCTCGCTTTCTCTCTCCATGCTGGCTGCCTGGCCTCTCTTCACGGCCGTCACCCGGGTAGATGCTGTGGCTCTCCCCACTTATAGACGGGGAGCCGGAGACTCAAGGAGTCTCTGTGCCTTCCGGTGTCACCAAGCAGTTCAGTGACAGTGGAATGAAGCCAGGTTGCTCTGTCTTCCAAGTCCCTGCTTCTTCCAATAAGAATGATGGGGTTATGATGATTAGGTGCTTAACAGGAATATTGGGGTACGGCTGGTATCACCGTGGCTCCCGCGTACCGGCCACATTGCTGTCTGCTGGGAACCAGGCTGAGCTGCTCCCACGTGTGGCCTTGTTGAACACCTGCATCGCCGTGGTGGTATAAGCATCCCCATTTGTATGGATGCAGAAACAAGGCTCAGAGGGCTGAAACCACTTGACAAAAATCAGCCAGCACAGAAAAGGCAGAGAACTGATTTTGGAATTGAAGTGAGACACCTCCTCTGCTTCTGGATGGTATTATCGGCTGCTCTCTGGGCGCCAGCCACTGGGGAAACACCTGTCCCCTACAAGGAAGGTCTCATTCTTCCCATTACACAGAAGGGGAAACTGAGGCTCAGAGGGGGAGAGTGACTTGCCCAAGGCCACACAGCTGACAAGGAGTGGCTCTGGATTCTGAACCCAGGAATGTCTGAGCTCCACGGCCTCACACTCTCCAGGCTGTCCCTCTTTAAGAAGCCACCCCCGGGCCTCGTAGTAGCCTTTGCAAAACACTGTGATGCTTATTCTGCCTCTCCTGCCCTTCACACTCATTCCACTTTGACCACTAATCATTCACAAATCAAGGCTGTCAATCTGGGATATCTGGACACTGGAGTCAGATTTTCTTTAAGTACCAAAAAATGAAACAAAACAAAAACGCCCAGCTCTTGACCCTGAGTCTACAAAACCATATTCAAATTGTTAACCTTCCTCTTCCTCACTGGGATTCCA